CGATCTTCGGGGACGGCGGGGCGGGTGCCACGGGTGGGTGGGTGTGAGGGTGGCGGCCCCCCAGGCGCCTCTGCGGGAGGCGGTGGGTGAGGCGTGGCTGCGCGTCCCCGCGGTGTAGCGGTGTCCCGGACCCCGCAGCGGTGCCGACCCCGTCTGGCAGCCCCTCGGGAGGGCCCGGCCCTGCCGGTGTGTCTCGCTCTTCCCTCGGGCCAGGGCAGAGCCGCGGGTGCCCGTGGGCCGAGCCCGCCGTGACAGCCCCGCCACCGCCCCCGCCGAGCAGAGCCAGCAGAGCCCCAGCCCCAGCCCCAGCCCCAGCCCCAGCCCTGCCCGCTCGGAGGGAGATTTTCCGCCCCCGCTTTCCCAGCTCATCCCCTTAACCTTACGGCGAGCTCAGGGCTCGGCTCTGGTTCCCGTCTCCAAAGAGGGAGGGTCCGGGCGGATCAGGCTCCCCCGGGCCACCCCAGCACCGGGCTGACACGCCCGGCGAGGTGCTGGACCCCATTCCTTCCTGAAAGCCCCTGGGAATGCCTGCCAGTGCTCCCGGTGCTGCTGGACAGACCCCGTCCCTCTGCAGAAGCCCCTTCGGGCTGCCTGCCAGTGCTCCCAGCGCGGTCTCTGGCCGGGTGGGAGATGCAGCAAGCGTGGCACATCCCGGGGAGGGGAATGGGTGTAATTCGCTTGTCATTTTTCACATGAGAAGCTGGGGCTGGCGCGGAAGGTGATGGGGCAGGCAGGCAGCCACCTTGCTGTGGGCTGCGGCTGGCAGGGGCTTGCTGCCAGACTGAGAGTGGATGTGCTGAGATGCCGTGGAGCTTTGCTGGGGCTGTGTTGTGGGCAGCATTTCCATCCATGACTTGGGTGTACCTGTGTCACACTATCTCCCAGTGCTACTAGGGCTAGTCTGGATGCAGGAGGGTTTGAGCTGTGAAAGTTAATTCAGCAAAGCCAGGTGTTGCAGGCTGTGCACAAAGACCTGTCCTGGCACAGGCCGGGTGCCTGTGTGTGTGATGCAGGGAACTCAGATGGCACACGCCAGACAGGAGCCACAGCCTGGGATGAGCCTCAAGGAGTGTTTGGAGAGCATGAGCTGTAAGGGACAGAGGGACTGGAGTTTTTTTAGAGAAGAGAAAGGGAAGCTTCACACCTGTTAACACCTGCACGTATCTCCCAGGTCTGTCCTGCTACAAGGGAAGTTCAGCCTTTCCCACCTTCCTCCCTGCAGATGAGAAGCAAGGGAGCCTTAGTGAAGATACTGGAGAGGAAACTTCTCAACAGCAGGTCTGGGGCAGTTTTTGTGAGGAGCTGTCTGAGCCTCTGCAGAGCACAGGGGGAAGATGTCAGAACAAGAGGTGTAGCTCATTTGACCTGGATCTTCAGGTATACTTGACCTGCACTGAGAGGGGTGGGGGTTTGGCTTAGCTGCCCACTTGAGCTTCCTTTTAGCCCTCAGGATTTAAGAAATACTGTAGTAATTGCTCCATAATGTTCTAAAGCCTGGCTTTGGCTGGCAGCCTCACTTGGCACCCTTCATATAACTTGATCTTTTAAACAAACCTCCAAATGTCACAAGTGAGCACATGAAGCAAGGCTGGCTGTCCCCTTGCTTGCTCTGCAGAGCCCACAGTAAGCTGAGAACTGCAAAATAAGCCTGCAAGTGGGCAAAAACCCCAGTCCATCTCGGCTCCTGGAAAGAGAGTAAGGCCCGAAGAGTCCTGTGTAGCTTGCAGTGGCTTTGTTGTTTATCCTAAAAGGTGTGTAGTTGTTCATGGCTCGGTCAGTTCTCCTGTTTTCCTTTCTCTGAGCTGGGTGAGACTGGGGATGGGGCCCATCTCCAGCTGCAGAGGGACACTGAGGTGGCCAGGGCTGCCCTTCCCTCACCGTGTCCCTCCAGACAGCCGGACAGGTGCTGGCTAGGTCACAACAAATGATCCTCCTCGCTGTGCTGTGCTGCAGCTGACACGGTGACTTGGTTGGTGAATCATAAGCGAATGCTGCTGAGAGCTGAGCTTTTTGCAGACACCACAGCATTAGCCCTGCTCCTTGGACAAGCTCCAGCTTGGGCGATTCCATTTGGACACTTTAAATGCTCCCTGTCGCCTTTGCAGGCACAAGGCTCTGCTCTTCTGCCTGTGAGCTCTTGGAGACTTGTTGGGGACTGTAAAACAGCTGCTACTTTCATTCCCTGGCTGTTTTCTTGCTGGGTTGTCTGTAGAGCCTGACTGCAGGGCTGTGAAAGAGGCTCTGTTAACGCCAGGCAGTTGACTTGCCGATAAAGGTTGGCTTTATTTTTCCCATCAGCTCTATTCTGTTGGCTTCCAAGGGCTGATGTGGGACACATGTGAAGTCATATTAGTTTTGGATCTTAAGAATTACCGGCTTAACTAGAATGATGGTTCTTAAGGATGTGGCTATAATTAGGTCAAGCTGTCTTGTTTGTTGAATTCCCATTCAGCTCCCAAACTTGGTAGTGAAAATGAACTTGGGGCCTTTTTTAGGATTGCCGTTCGTCTCCACTGGCAAAACACATTTGGGAGAAGGCTCTTTTGCTCCTCTTCTTGCTGCCAGGACCGTGGGCAAAGGCAGAGTGTTGTTTTGTCTCCCTCCCAGGGGCTGCTGAGCTGCCATGGGGAACACCACCAGCGAGCGGGTGTCTGGGGAGCGCCATGGCTCCAAGTCCCACCGCTCGGACGGCTCCGGTGCCTCCCACCCCGCCAAGGAGCACCCGCACAAGATCATGGTGGGCAGCACCGACGACCCCAGTGTTTTCAGCTCCCATGACTCCAAGGTAGGGGCTGGCTGCTCCCTTCCCTGCCTGTCCTTCGGAGCCTCAGCACACTGCCTGTGTGGGGCTGTGTTCCCAGCCATGCGAGGGGTCTCTGGGGAGCTGGGGGCCTGGAAGAGCTCTGTGGTGCTCCTGTGTGTGATGTGCAGGTGGGCTGCTGGAGGCCAGGTGTAGAAACCAGCTGTCTGAATGTGTTCACTGTTGTCTCTGTGTCTCGGTTACGTCTCTCTGGTTTTCTTTGCCCAGATTCCTGGGGACAAGGAGTTTGTGTCATGGCAGCCAGATCTGGAGGAGTCAGTGAAGCCATCCCAACAGGCTCGTCCAACTGTCATACGCTGGGCTGATGGAGGCAAGGAGGTCTTCATCTCCGGATCCTTCAACAACTGGAGCACCAAGATCCCACTCATCAAGAGGTAGACAGTCCCTCAAGTCATTTACTCTATGTTCATGTCTGCTCCAGTGCAGAGAATGTTTTCTTTTGCTCTCTTGGCTTTTCTCTCTTCACTCAAACTGTGTGGGTCTGAGGCAAATACACAGTCAGCTCCTTCCCTGCGTGGTGCTGCAGGGACAGTAGGAAGTTGTGAAACAGGGACAGGACAGGATGGGCCACTTTGCATGCCCAGCTGGATGTCACACAGCAGCCAGTGCTGGCAGCAGGGCCCTGCCCAGGTATGCAGCAGTCCTCTGGAAGCTGTCAGCTCTTCCCTTGGCTGTAGCATTACCCCATGCCTAATTGTATTGGTGCCAGTGGGTGTTAGTTGTTTGTCCCTCACGTATCTTTCTGCCCTAATGATGTTTTGCAGCACATCTGTGACTTATATGGAAGCTCGTGAAGGACTCTAGCAATTAATCTGGAATGACTTTATCTCAATTTCAGATTTGACAAACAGAGCTGTCCCACTTGCTCCTGTTCTGCTGTGTCCTGTTCTTCTTAGCCTGTCTTGCACAGGGTGTCTGTCACATCCACTTTCTCAGGGCACAGAGGGCTAGACTGCCACTTGCAGCTGGGCTGCCAGGGGTTTGAGCCACAGAATGCTCAAACGAGCACTGGAATGCTCGTGCCTGTTGTGGCCATGCCTTGGGTCACTGATGATGAGCAAGCCTGAGCCTGCATGAAGGTGTTGGGGTAGAGGGGCTGGGCAGTGCTGGTTCCTGGGGCCCCTTGGAAGAGCAGCATTCAGAACATCAACAGGCTGATGCTGTTGCACATCTGTTCTCTCTGCACAGCCACAATGATTTCGTTGCTATCCTGGACCTTCCAGAAGGGGAGCACCAGTACAAATTTTTTGTGGATGGCCAGTGGGTCCACGACCCATCTGAGGTAATGCTCCAAGCTTTATCCCCGCAGATCTTGTCTTCTTCAGGGAACTAGACAGGATGTAACTGCAGGAGAGGGGGAACAGGAAGAGCAGAGACTATCTCCTGAAACAAAAGGCACACCTCCATCCCCTGACTCCTTTCAGAGGCTGGTGCCTCTGGACATGGTCATGATTTATGGGGAAGCATTGGGAAAGGGCAGGGAAATGCCAGAAGTCCCTCAAGTCCCACTGAGGATTGTCAGTGGGAAGATGGGCCATGAGGTCAGCACTCACAGGTTCTCTTCCAAACTGAATCATGTGGGAGCAGCTTGGGAAGGACAACACACCTACCCATGGGCATGTA